AAACAAGTATGTTTTTAGCATAGTCTTAAAAAAGACTTCGCTGAGTCCTGAACAGTGATTGGAGGGTTATTCCAAAGCTAAGGGGCTTTGAATAAAAAATTCTACACCCTGCTAAAGCTTTTTTATTTCTAGGTACTAATAGTGAGCCAGCACCTTGTGATCTAAGTAGGCATGATGGTTCAGACAAAGAGATAAGCCCGTGAAGGGTTGATAAAACCGAGCTCTAAGCTCTCTGGCTGCAGCATTCTGGACTAACTGAAACTTGTTGAGGCTTTTGCTGGAACATCCAGACAGCAGGTCATTACGATAATTCAACCTCAAGGTAATAAAGGTGTGAACTACATTTTCCACATCCTGTATGGATAGAGCATTTCTTAACTTGACAGTATTTCAAAGCTTAAGGAAAGCTCTTCAAGTAGTATTGCTTATGTGTGCATTGAAGGACAGATCGGGATCAATTGTGACTGCTGGGTTTTTCACAGATGTTCCTCGTGGAACTCAGAAGCTATTAAGATCTCTCTTCTTAGCTGATCGACTATAGTACTGGGCAAAAATCAGAGACAGCTCTTCATTTATTTAGGCTCAAAAATCAAAATGGCCATAAAGTGTTAAGTTATTCAATTTTCAGGAGAGATTTCTGAGGCAAGTAGATAAAAGAGAATCCTCTTGCATTAGGAAGTGTATTAAAAGACATACCTGGTAGACCAACAAAACGGTCAGATAAACAGTACATAAAGCTTTGATATTTGAGAGATAGATCAAGCTCCACTCTTTCATTAGATCTGAAAACGTCCACAGGTGTTTCTGTCCATGCTTCCACTGTTAGAAAACAACTCAATACTTTGAGTATGAAAGCATTTGTGGCTGCCAAGAAGAAAAAGACAACAGATGAAAAATAAGAAATTGTGTAAATCAAACACAGGCTGCTGGTGTTTTCAGAACAGTGGACTGACCACCCCAGTGTTCAGACCTCAGTATCATTGAATGTGTCTGGGATTACTTATATTGTGAGAAGCAGAAAATGCAACCAGCTTCTAAGACTGAACTTTGGAGGTGTGGAAAAACATCCCTGCAGATTTCTTTGAAAAACTGAAAGCAAGTCTCCTGAAAAGGATGGAGCTGTAATAAAGGCAAAGAGTAAATGCATTAAATATTGAAACAGTATATTTCATTATTGAGACTTCTGTCATCTTCTGTTAAATGTATGTTTTCTGCTTTTTGCTGGTGCTGAAAAATGAATAACTTGTATTTAATAGCTGTTTTGGTCTCTAACTTGCACTGTACTGTACATTTGTGGTAAGGGGAAACTGTGTAAATTAGATTTTTCACCAAACTACCTCTTTTAAGATGCATTACTTCCCCCACCAGGGTGTGTTTAGTGCCACCCCCCCCCCTTTATGATTCATTACCATTGTCTGTCAGCCCACTGAGAGTTTAGGAGGATTTGCAGGGACTTTCTGTATCACTATGCCATCTCTGCCACACACACAGCTGAAATTAGCCAGCGGCACTTTGGTAAGGCGGGTGTTTTTCCTGTTCTGTGGACTTAGTGGACTGAGCGTTTTCCTCCTGCAGTGGCCTGTGTGAGAGCACTAAGCTGTATTAGCTGGATACTAGGCAGGCTGTGGCCAAGGTCAGTGCTTGCCCCTGCTTGGCTCTGAGTGTGCTGCTGGGGCTCTAACCCAATTACTAATGCCCCCCTATGCTGATTTAAGCCTAGGACCTGACAGTACACAGCACGGGCACTGTTTGTGAGTTTTGTGTGTGTGTGTGTGTGTGCACGCGCACGCGCATTTAGTTGCCAGTCCTTAATTTTTGGTATTTTTCCTCATTTAACAGAATTTGAAAATACCGGCTACCTTTTACGTTATGGTGAAATATCATGATGAATGGTCAGAAAACTGCTTGGACATGTGTCTTTGTGTATGCACAGTGAATGTGTATCATTCTGTAGCTTAATCAGGTCTGTGTGAACAATCCACAGTCTATAATCTGTCTATACTGTGCTCAGTCTATACTCACAAACATGCACACGTGCACACACCTCTGCTAATCCAGTTATATGGCAGACTTAAGTCTGGTGATTACTGAAATGTGAGCTGTCTCTCTGAGGCCTGGACTCTGCAAGGCTAGAAACCCTGCAAACTTCAGCTGTAATAACAATGACTCTCACATTATAATCATCTCCAAGGTCATCATTTTCCTTTTCCTTAGTGCTAATGCTATTATTTGTGTTGGATCTATTTGTATTTGCAGTGTGTATTGTGACTTTTTCCCTAAATGAAGCAGTGCATGGCTGGTGAGCATGCATGTGTGCTGAATTAAAATCTGGTTTGACACAGTGGGCGCGTACACTCATAATGCACCCTCACTGAGATAAGGTGCTGTGTGTGTTTTTGGGTGCGCACTGTATGTGCACTAGCAGTGCAGTGAAGTTAGAGAGGGTGACAAATGGCATTTCCTGTAAGATTCTGAGATTCTGTCTTTCTGCTGTTGCACAGTTCTGAGTGCTAAAGGAAATGACATTTATAAGGTTAAAGGAAAAGTTCAGCAAAATTGGTCTTTCTAAATTCTATATAGGGTTGCCATGATGTGGTAATTGTGGGCTGATGCTGATACCAGATATTTTTCATGTACAGACAGCGCCTTCCACAGATATTCTTTATTGATTGTCTTAATCTTTCGTTTAAAATATTTACAGGAATCTAACCGTTAATTGAGGTACAGTGATTGGAAAAAAAACTAAACCTAAATCTTGTCATGAAATATTTTTCTCAAATCTATATGCGCCAATTGTTGGCACCCATAGAAATTCTTAAGCGTGAAATCTAACTGAAGTATATTCCCATTCATAGTTTATGTTTTAAAGTTCACCTGATTTAATAGGAGCACTTAAATTACTGTCCTGTTTCCTGTCCCTGTGTAAAAATTCCCTTAGTCATCCATCATTATGAGAAAGACCAGACAGTACAGCAGTGATGTGCAACAAAAGGTTGGTGAGCTGCACAAAACAGGAAATGGCTAGAAGAAAATAGCTAAAGAGTTGGCAATTTCCACTATCAGGCAAGAATTAATAAGTTTAAAGTGACTAGAGATGTTAAGAATCTATATTGACCCTACTCACAGTGAAGGGATGGTTCAAGTGGCCTCAGAATCTCCAAGGACCACAGATGGAGAATTGCAGACGTTAGTTGGGTCTTGAGGTCGGAACGTCTCCCAAACTACAATCAGACTTATTTGGGAGGGTTGCCAGATGGAGGCATTTGCTGTCAAGGGCCAGCAAACTCAAGCTCCTAGAGTTTGCCAGACGTTAACTGGAACTTTTAGTGGGACTGTGTTCTATAGTTAGATGAGACCAAAATAAGGCTTTTTTGCAACAAACACCAGAGGTGAGTTTGTGATGTGAGGTTGCTTTTCTTCCGACGGCCCTGGATGGTTTATTCGGATGCATGGTACCAAAGACTCAAGTGTCTGCAGATATTGAATCAACACCTCAAAACCGCATCAGCCAGGAAACATAAACTGGGCCACAGTTTGGATCTTCCAGCCGGACACTGGGCCAAAGCAAACACCAACAATCAACACAAAAATAGGTCACTGACCACAGAATCAAGGTTTTGTCATGGCCATCTCAGTCCCCTGACCTAAACCCCATAGAAAGCTTGAGGGAAGAGCTTAAGAGGAGAGTCCACAAGCATTAACCTTGGAATCTGAGAAGACTGAAGACATTCTGTAGGGAGGAATGGTCTCAGTTCCCTTTCCATGTGTTTTCCAGTCTCATTAAGCGTTAAAGGAGAAGGCTCAGAGCTGTTATCATTGCAAAGGGAAGCAATGAAGTATTAAATGAAGGGCTGCCTACATTTGTGGCACAATTTGAGAAACATTTATATCATGAAAGAAAAGTTATTATAAAAAGAAAATTTTTCTATTACTATTTGTCCTTCAATTAAAAGTTAGAGTTAACATAAATATTTTTAATAAAAGATCAAAAGGATAAGCAATAAAATGCTTTGTACAGCCAGTTTTGCTCATGTTTAACAGGGGTGCCAGTATTTGTGAAGGGCCCTGTAAATGCCTGTGCCAATACACAAACATTTATTGGTCAGAAGTTCTAATCTGTTAAATCCAGTGTAGGAAACACAGAAGGTGCCCCTAATTCCCTTGCTGTCCTCATCAAAGTGTGCCCTTTGTTGGCCTTAAGGCAGGTTTACACTGCACAGTTTTCGTCACGAAAATGCTGCTCTAGACAAGAATTGCAAACGATGAAAGAATTCTTTGATTGTGAATCAAAATCGACAGTCTTTGAGTGTTTAATGTGATGTGCTCCATGGTGACCAGTTTAGTGCCTTTGTGGCCAAAGACAGCTTGCGATAAATTTCAGAGAGTATCAGAATTTTTGGTCCTAAATCTTGGAGTGCGACCACTGAAGTGTGACACGTCTGAAAACAACTAATAGTGCAGCTCGGTATAAAGCCAGTGAAAATGAGAGAGATATATATTAAGGTCAAAACCTTCACTGGACCAGTTTTGATTCAGTGAATTTGACGAATCTGTGAATTTTTGTTTTTAATTGCTTGCTTTTACTCTTACTTCTTACTTCTTGGAATTTCAGAATGCTAACATTAGCATATCTGCTTTAAGTTAGAAAAATCTATATTTAAACCGATTTTTCATTTTGTTCAGGGGAATAATATGAACAGTAACACTTTTGATTTGGTTTTCCTGACAGATCTGGCCCAGCACTCTGATAAAGCCCCCTTAATGTCTGTATTAATTGACATTAGACTTTGATTAATCTTGGTTTTTTTAAACCAAAATTAGGCATGACACACAGGGACTTCACATTGGAGGAAGAAAATTGTTCTTCTAATTTGTGTCTCACCCTGTTTTGAGTGGATTTAAATCTGAAACTGTGTATTTATCTGAGCACAGGGTTGCTTTCCATTATTTGACAACTGTTGATGGGCCTGTTTTTGACCTTGATCTCTCTTTGTCCACAGGTTTGTTGGTAGGTGTGATCCTGCGGTATGGTATCCCCTCCACCAGTTACCACAATAAAACACCCCCCAGCTGCTCTCTGAAAGAGGGTCCGGTCAGCACCCTGCTGCTCAATGTCAGTGGCAAATTCTTTGAGTACACACTGAAGGGTGAGATCAACTCCCGCGAGATACACAATGTGGAGCAGAACGACATGCTTCGTAAGGTACTTCTGAAAGAGCACATACACCCACACACACATTCACAAACCCAACCCCTAAAAGTAAAAGATGGTCAAAACACCCCCCTCCCCCACCCTGAATGTAGCTATTCTGCTAAGACTTGTTTAGAGTCTTAAGTTTGCTTCTTTCGTTTTACACTGGAGCTTTGAGGCTGATAAAGCTAAAACATAATGAAAGCTAATATCCCATTTAGCGTTGAGCTAACTGCATGCCTAAATCACATGCTTGCCTCAAACCATGTCAAGTTGTGATAATGTCAGTGTTGCTTATTTGGTATCTGACACTGTATGACATGTTTTTATCTAAATGTATTTCAGAATTTTAATTTTATAAAGAACAGTTACCTCAGACGTAGTTTATCAGCCATGGCATGTTTGGTGTCTGAGTTTTGCTTCTTTAGCTTAGCACTGGTGCTATGAGGCTCACTTTGCTAAAAAACACAAGTCAGTAGTGACCCAGATCTTTTTCATAAATATAAAACTCTCAAACCGCATCCACATATTCATTAAGTCATACAGACTTGTTGATGTGGATTCAGTATGACTCAGGCCTACTGTGACCTATTAAGATCAACAAAACTTTGTTCATTTGTTGTCTAAAATGGCTGCCTGCTGCAGCTGCATGATGAAGTTTTATTTTTATAGTTTACAGTAAGTCATACTAGGTCCTGAACCACACTGATAAGTGTGCAAGAACCTAATGAAGAGGAGTGAGTGCACTGAACTACAGAAGGAGTTTGGGCAGAAAGCATGTCTTCACCATAATCTTCATCGATTATGTTTGGACAAAGTCAAAAATTGTGTAAATCAGATTTTTCGCCAAACCATTCCTGTAACAGAGAACACGGTTTGAGGGAAGAATGTGTTGATTTAGGAATGCGGTTCTCAAAATGCTAGCTGGTCGTGTATAATCTTCTTTTATTTGTTAGATTACATTACGTTAGCCTCGTGGCTCCAGTGTGAAACTGAAGAAACGAACTTCAGACATTAAACGTCTTGGCAGATCAGCTACATTTGGATTATGGAGAAAATTGTCCAAATTTCACTTTTTTGCCAAACTGCTTCTTAAACTAAGTGTATTTAACTAGGGGCAGCCTCTTTTGGTTTGTTTTTGTTTACCTCTGGCGCCCTGTCCAGCACAATGTACAGCAAGATTTAGGGGACCTCTTTAATTCAGTTTATGTGATTATGTGTGTGTATGTCTGCATTGTTAAGCTAATTTGTAGCTGATGTAAACATACATTTAATCCATCTTTTGAAATTGCAAATAAATGTTGTTTGTTGTTTTACAGGTCACCTTTGACCCAGAGGTGTTCTTCAACATCTTGCTACCTCCCATCATTTTCCATGCTGGATACAGCCTTAAAAAGGTAAGCTAGTGTTGTAGCTGGAGGGAGACTCTTCTGAGCAGTAATGTCAGACTTGGCTCTCATGGCTGGGTTGTCATCCTTTGTTTTGCTGTTCAGCAGAGCGTTCATGAATGGTTTCCCTGCTGCTGCATCCTTTGCATTTTGAAATGGACACATGATAGTGGAATAGGCCCTGCTTCTCTCTCTTTTGCCTGGGTGAAAACACAACTGCTGGAAATTGGGGAATTTGGCTAGTTAAGAGCAGAGAACTGCCTTTGTTGGTTAAAAAAATGCTGATTGCGTGTTAGTAATGAACAGCTTTTTTGCGGAAGCGAAGTCCAGATGTCTTTCACTTCCCTTCAGTTACCTTCCACCAGTGTTCTGTATGGTATTTTTACAACAGGCACGACCTCCATGCTTGCCTGGCAAACAAAGGGTCTTTTATTTAAAAAGGGCCTTTGATTTTCTACGTTTGTAGTGGTCTGCCATGCAGATTTGCCAGATGTGTTCTGACAAAATCATTGCGCATAGTGTTTGTGTGTTCATAAATTGCTGTGGGTTTTGAATATACATTGTTAACTTTTGTTTAGCACTATGAACTATTGATTTAGGATGCTATCAGCTATGTGTATCCACTCAAGTTTTGGGCTGCATTATTTGCTTTCGTTTCACAAAATTAACTGATTTTGTTTCAAGCCATGTTGAAAACACTAAATCCTGCATATTCCTCTGGAACACTGCTTGGCTCTGTGTGTGCAGTTTAATATTTGGAGTATTGCATATGTAATCAAAAACATGGTTTTGTGAGAAAGAGTGGCATCTTGTGACTTCCACAGCTTACAGTATTCTTTAAGCCTCTTTACTGTTTTTGCTTTGGTGGGTGTAGAAATCCAGGGAGATTCCAAACCAGTGAAATTAGTAATGCGTGGTCATGGTAATGTAATACCTGATATCAAGTCCAGCGTCTTTTTTCTAGTGGTAGCTGAAATGTGTAAGTTCCAGTCTTGTTATAGTCTTGGAGGGTTGACTTTATTTGAAACGTGTGAATGAGAGAGAGTTTTTCACAGGCTGCACCCTGCAATTCTGTACATGCTTAAAGTGCTAGTTTAAAAAAAAAAGGGAGAAATTTACATGATAGTGCCTTTATTCCAAATGTAGGCTTTCTGATCAGTTACTCACACTGTGTAACATGTTTTATTTATAAAAATGGACAAAAGTGTAGGTAAAAATCAGACTTCAAGGTGGCTGCTACCACTGTTTTTAGCTATGCAGTATGCTTTTTCTGTTTTTATAGAGAGCAAGTCATGCAATATCAAAAACCACATGAGCAAGTCTATTTGAATTTATTTAACAACTCGACAAAGTGTGATTTAGGCTTGTGGTTTGCATGATGCTAATTGGCGGGCTATAAGCTTTGTAACTCCACTGCTAGAAGCAAATTTTAGACCAAACATGTCTTCGCTGATCGACTTTATTTGGGCAAAGGAGAAAATTTCGAATTTTTTTCTTTTTTTAACCAAACTATCACTTTTAAATTTTTATTCACTCACTCATGTTTTGCATGTGAATTCATATAAAATTGCATACTCTGTGATTTCTGTCAAGAGAGCGAGTAAGAGAGAGCGAGAGAGAAATAAACACTGTTTCCTTTCTCTCGCTGACACTGAGACGCTTTTCAACAGTGTTTTGCTGATTGTGTGCCTGACAGCGGAGGGGAAAAAGACAGAATTTAAAGCAGATGGTTGATATCTGGCACCAAACAGAGGCAACACAAGTCAGCAGACAGTAGAGCTGTCTATGTGGAGAGTCAGTAGTGCAATTGCTGCATGGATTTAGCATCATGCTCTCTGCTTTCCTTGATGCATGTTGGATGTCTGAGTGGCGTTCTTTTACCCAGGGCTGCATGACAAGCACAAACTGATCTGGACATAGTCGGGGATTTCCTTTGTATGCCTCTGCATCTGCACCTTCTGCTCTGGGACTAATGCTGTTGCTTCTGTGAAAGACCATCCCTGAGAAAATGAGGAGCTCGTTAAACTCACAAGTGTTACAAACCTTAGTTCAGAGTTATTATTGCTATTTTGATATGTTTGATTTGCATTACATAAATGTAAATTAACTTGATTCCAAGCCTTTTTAAAATTGGCCCCCCTCAACCACAAACACACACACTTCCTCCTGCTGTCGGTAAAGGTGATTAACAGTCTGCGAGGAGGAATGTACCAAAATTTCAGCTACCAAACAATTTCAGCCAAAAATGATCCTAAGTGGCACTTTCGGTTTTCAACCGAAAAGAGGAAGAAGGTTAGAAGTTTCAGATGAAAAAAGGCAAAAGATTTAATAGGACAGCAGTAAAACGCACTACAAGATTTAATGCTGTAACCTCTACTCCAGAGTCTCATAACTTTCCAACATAACTTTTCCTGTGTCAAATAATATTCATATCTCTGATTGGGCTTCGTAATGGGAACTATTTTGTTGGCTTTAATGACTCTAGAGAATTTTCATAATGCAGTCTGTGTTGAACGCTTCAGTGCACTGCTGGCAGACTTCACTCTCACACTTGCCTCTGACCACCCGTGGAAGTGGAGCTGGTGAGACAAGGACTGGGTGACTCAGCATCTTGAGACTGAGAGCCAGGCCCAGGGGAGCCTGCCCCACATCACTGCACTATGGAACCATGGAGAGATGAGCTGGGGAGGTTTGAGTTTTATTAGCTTTGGCATTAACAAAATGCCTTGAACTCATGGGCCTTTCACCAGTGATGAGATGCAGTTTTACGTAAAGTCTTCCAACGACATGATTAATGGTGAACACATGCCATTGTTGTAATGCCAGTTGTGAGTTTGTAGATGAAACATTGCCAGGGTTGTGTTCAGAATATTGATATGGCAATATATTGTGGTAGGCTTTATTACATAATCACCCGATCATAATGATTTAGAGGTGACCACAATCAGTTTCCACAGTTTCTAGCGTTCATAATGTATGTTTACATTGCAACAAACATAATGTGAATTGGATGTGTTTCAGTTGATTTACAGCAAATACAGTTAAGTAAAAGATGCATATATTGAGATGCATCATGAGTCTTGGGGAAAAAAAACTGTGAAAGTTATAGCTTGTGGCTTTAACGTCTTTAGAGGGCCGCAGTGAGTAATGTTTGTTCATTTGGTGCTCGTGAACACTTTTAGAGGGCAGTGGTGAGTAATGTTTGTTTATTTAGCTCAAGCTATGTCTGTCGTCAGTTGGGATCAGTGGCCTTTAGGAGTGTGTGAAAAAATCGATTCTTAGATGCATCGCGATGCGGACGTGAACGATTCTGAATCGATTCACAAATGTAAAAAATCAATTTTCTAAATTTAAATTTATAACGTAATGTTGACGGAACGCAAAAAGCGGAACCTGTAAGTGGGTAAGTGCAGCGCCTAGACACTCTGTGACACGCACATAACAAAAACACAACTGGATGAGCGAGAAATCCGGCCGGCTCCCTCTGCATTAAAAGCCAGGTTAGGTCAGGAGTCACAGCACAAATGATAAGAGCCATTTTGTCCTTTCAACAAATATCAAACCACCTTGGGAGCCACAACATTTAATGTCCAGTATGTCTCATTATGTGATAATGTTCTAGTATAGACTAAAAAATATAAATGAAAATGCAGATTTACTTTGCTCTGCTTTAAGCTTCAGCTATAGCCGCTTTTCTTCCACCTCCGCCAGAAAACGTTTCCTCAAAAGTTGAATAGTTTCTTGTAAAATGTCTCTCAAAGCTCGACTGTTTTACGAGGCTGAAGTCGCTTCTTGTTCTCCAGCTTCTTGTTCGAATTGACCCGTTCCACCTTAAATTCTGCCTGAGGTGCCAGAACGTAAACGTGGCACTATTTAAGGTGGAACGGGACAATTTGAGAGAGAAGCTGACTTGAGCTGTGCGACTTTTTAGTGTTTGACAGTTTCTTGTTGCAGATTTAACGTACCAGGAAACCAACTGCGCTGCTTATAAATGCGAATAAGTCCATTTGTCTCCAAATGTTCGTCTGTCTTTCTCTTTTCCATTTTTGTTCGTTACTCGCTCGGAGAAACCTCGTTGCTAGATGACCTGAAGTCTGCACGCCAATTCTCAGTCAATTTCTTCGCACTATGTTGCACACGTCCCGTCTCGAAGATATTTTACTGACACAGTGACCCCAAACTCTCTACAACGAGACCAAAACCGAAGTTATAAAATCGCTAAAGAAAACGGGCAGGACGGCTGGAACGTGCTGCGTGGACATCCATCACCACTGGATCTTATTTCACCCTAACAGCGCATTTTATCACAGATGAGTGGCAGCAGCGTCTCATGCGGTCCAAACAACAGCAGTGAATAAGAGTCTTCTAGTTCACTTGCCACATCACTTCCATTTGATTTATTAATAAAAGATATTGGAAGTAAATTCATTATGGATCATTACAAATACTTTGCTTTAAAACTAGCAAGTCCTCAGACAGTAAGAAAATAGAAATCTTGTACAGAAAAAAAAGATGTATCAAGACGCATCGATAATCGTTTTATAATCGCATCGCAGCCCTCTGAATCGTAATCGAATCGAATCGTGAGGTGCCTAGAGATTCCCACCCCTAGTAGCCTTGTACTTATTACTAGTTGTAAACACTGAACAAAAGAAGACAGTTACATTGTTTGTCGTAATTATTTACATGGCAAAAAAAATGGCAAGCTAAAGTTTCATGATCATGACCTATATCGAGGCCTATATTATGGATAGACATGTGAACGGTGCATAAACAGCGATGAGTATGTTAATACTTATGAATCTGCTTTAGTTGAATGGAGCTTTGGTGCTCCATTAAAATCTGAGAGCATAATATTTATAACATAAAGCACATGGGAAACTTATGCTGTAACAGTTAGCGTTTTATTCTTTATTTATAATTTTTTGTGTAAAAATCTGTGTTGGAGAGAGTGTTTAATTCTGGTCCATTCTGTGCATTGCATGCACAGGAGAAACTGAGCACAGAGTAAGATAAATTCTGTTAGTTTTGCCTGTGCTGTTGTTTGCATGAATGAATATCTTTTAGGAACCTTTGTTATTTTAAGTCCTTTATGCTCTGTGTTAGTTGTGTACTCGAGCTAGTTTCACTGTCACAGACAAAGTTTAATCAGCAGTAGCAGAGTTGTTAGCCTTTTGGTTGCAGCTTTGTGGTGTGGCTTCATCTTGTAGCTTTGTTAAATGCTAAATCGCTGATGATACTGTCATATGCAATCTGTGGCATCTGTTAGTGAACATTTTGTTGTTCAGCAATAATTTTACAGCCACACACTCCTGTACATGCATAGACATGCAGTGTCGCAAGCAGTTACAACCATTCAGTGTTTCTGTAAAATTCTATTGCTGAAATATAAACATGATTTGATTTCTTTATAATTTTGCTCTACAACACCCTGTATGTACCTGTCCACCCAGCATGTAATTTTAAAAACAGTTTTTCTATCTAAAAACATAAAACAATGTTTTGCCCAACAGGCGGTGTGTTCACAACCATATCTTGAAATAACTTTGTGATGTAGCTTTTAGAGGCATTAAATTTTTCAGTCTGGTTCCTGTCTCCATCTCTGTGAACAGTTCTAACTCTGTTTCTCTAGAATGGAGCATTTTTTTATAAAACCACTTTGACTGTTTGTGTCTTATCCACTTAATTATGAAGCAATTTAATGCAAGTGTGTGATGATTTAGGCATGCTGGTTTGTATAGTGCTAATTGGTGGCTATAAGCTTCCATTTCGTAGTAACTAGATTAGCCTCGCAGCCCCGAAACTAATAAGACATAGTTGATGAAAATGAAAGGATGTAAATAGCTGCTAGTGCAACGCTGTAAAGGTAAACCAGTGATGTTGGTAAAATGAGAGTGAACAGTGATCAAGCATTTAAATGCAGTGCTTAATATCATTTTTCCAGATTCTTCACTGTTTGGGTTTAGGTGGCTGTTATTTTCAAGTGGGTTAGCAATGCTGTAGTTGTTTTTGCACTGTGGAGCAGACAGTGATGCATGTCTGCCTCTCTTCCTCCAGAGGCACTTCTTCAGAAACCTGGGCTCCATTATAACATACGCTTTCCTGGGCACAGCCATCTCCTGCTTTGTCATTGGGTAAGTCCACAACACTGTGCATTACAGCAATGGTTTGAACTTAACCTGCTTGGCATCTTTAAAATGACCTACTTAATCATCCAGTGAGGGCTTGTTTTTCTGGAAGTGTACATACTGTAATTTGCAGGACATTTGGTAATAATCAGTGTTTTAACTGTTTGATTTCCTTCCTGAATTTGAATGGCTTCCCTTGTTTTTCAGAAACATGATGTATGGAGTGGTGAAGCTGATGCAGGTGGTTGGGCAGCTCACTGATAAGTTCTACTACACAGACTGCCTCTTTTTTGGAGCCATCATTTCAGCCACAGATCCAGGTAATGCTTTTTGTCCCTCTCTTTCGCTTTCTGCATTCTCTGCTTCACCTCTCTTTTCTTGAAAAAAGCACTGCTTTCTTTGATTTCATTGGATTTCTGAAGGCATTAATACTATGCTGTCTCGGATGCCTCCTCTCTATCCTTATTTAAATCTCTGTTTTGTACGTATTTGTTTCCCCTATGCTATCAGTGTGCGTCTTGTATTTTAATGTAATGTCTGTGTATTTGATAGACATGTCTTTTGTTTTTGTTTACCTCCTGTTTGTTGTGTTCATGTTCTATGATTATAAAGCGTCCTTGAGCATGGGACAGGCTCTACATTAATAAAAAGTGATGATGATGATTATGCTCTCAAAATAAGTTAAAAGGGAATTCTGCTGATTTTTTGCACAATTCAGCTGTTAGATGTCAGTGAGTGGTTCAAAGTAAAGTAGTGCATTGTAGAGACATTTATTGACCAACCATGTCTACAGCTCAAATACAACCATTTTATTCTAAAACAACATGTGAGCCTACATGTCTTCTGAGTGTTCATGTAATGGTAAAATAGTGAGAAATCTGAAAAAGTACTATTTTGCTTTACACCACCATAAATGTATTTTAAAAAATACATTTTAGGCCAAAACTATATCTCAGAACAAATATTAAAAAGATATTTCAGCCCTCAGGCACTGTATTTGCAGCCATTTGTTGTAACTTTCTTTGAGGTAACTTATAGAACCGTTAAATGCTTTAGACGTCTGGTTTCTTTCACCACCACTGTGAACAGTTCTGACTCAGCAAGTGTCTCTAGAATGGGGTATTTCACACCAGACACTCTGAATGACTTTGTTTACATCTGAACCCTTTAAGGCCGATGCAAAAAAAGGCATTTTCTGCCAATTTGTCTACTCTTTTCACTTATTAATCCAGTTTCTTAATGCGTTTGTTGCATTTATTTGATGTGTAAAGAATATGATCTAACAAAGCTGACAATTCTGAGATTTGTATTCACTTTGTGACACAAACTACCATTTTTTCAAAACATGAAAAGAAATATAAGTCACAAATGAGTCACATTACCTTTACTCAGATTAAATAAGCACGAGAAATTAAGCCTTGTGCAGCTTTTATATACTGACGGAACACATAGTAGTACACAGAAGAAGGTTATGCACGCTAAAATGAATGAAATGATTTTACTCTTGCCAGCAGAGATATGTGTGCGTCTTAACTCCTCTGGTCGTTTTAAACAAGTGGCTTTCTTTCTTTTTTTTTCATTGGGTTCATATGGTTAACAATTTAATTGTGCAAAATAAATTGAATATATAGTAAGGATATTGTCAGCGTAGTCATACTTTTGTGTGTTTTTGTTTGTGTGTGTTTTCAGTCACTGTACTGGCCATCTTCAACGAGCTCCATGCTGATGTGGATCTCTATGCCCTGCTGTTTGGAGAAAGTGTAATGAACGACGCTGTGGCCATTGTCCTCTCGTCGTAAGCTCTTTCACGTCACTCTTTCTCGCTTGCCCAAACTCATTTGCTCACTTTCTCTCTTGTTCGTTCTCTCTCTCTCTCGTGCACACTACGCACACAGACACACAAACTTTATTCCTCTTCTTTTTCTGGTACACACACAAACACACACACACACACACACACTCTTGCTTTTTCTCCTGGCTGTTTCCCAGGCTGCAAGGTCAGTGTGTTTTGTGGGGGAAATTCCACAATCTAATGTGAAACAGATAAAACACATGTTTTCAAAACTGCTGTCAGTGCCCAAATCTAGGAAGAATTGACCTTGAGCTCCATCTGCTGGCCAAAACAATCAGTGTGTCATTTGGGGTACTTTTCTAGAAAATTCCCACCTAAGCAGTACAGAATCAAGTTATGAAGAGTGTTTCAGCCACACTACCACAATACAGGACAGCCAATCAAAATAGAAGTTTTTTACCCTGTCCGTCTTAAAGGCACATGATCAAAAATGGACTGTTTTGATACAGACAAAAAAAATAAAGAATAAATCAATAAAGACATAGAATATAGGCCCTTTAATGTAGAAAATATATATCTTTCATGTAGAAAACATTTGTTTTTGGTATTCAACAGACTTCACTGACTTCATGAAGCAACATGACAACCCTTATTTATGACCACCTGTATTTTCAGGTACAGGCCTTGTAAATTGATTTATTATTCATTATGTATTTTTAAATTTGGCTTGTTTTGTGTTCTCTGTAGGTCTATTGTGGCCTATCAGCCCGCTGGAGTAAACACTCATACATTTGATGCCTCCGCCTTCTTTAAATCAGTTGGCATTTTTCTGGGGATCTTCAGTGGATCTTTTGCTATGGGTGCAGTCACTGGAGTTGTCACTGCCCTCATATCCTTTCAGTACATTGTAAATCTCAAGCTCTGACCCAGCAGTTAGATATTGTTATCAGTGAGCTGTGTTTAATGGCTGTTTGAGCTTCATTCCATCTCTGTGTATTTAAAGGCTTTAACTCTGTTCTTACGTCACTAAATTCACCAAGCTGCACTGTTTCCCTCTGCTGGAGACGGCACTGTTCTTCCTCATGTCCTGGAGCACCTTCCTACTGGCAGAAGCTTGTGGCTTCACAGGTGTGTGTGTGTGTGTGTGTGTGTGTGTGTGTGTGTGTGTTTTTACTTCCATTGTCATCTTTACAGTGGCCCCAAAAAGTATTTGGAAAGGGGAACTCTACTGATTTTTCATAATGTGCTTGTTGAGGTGTAAATACAGTAATCTAGAGTGGTTTGTTGTGAAACGGTTCATGTAGAGAAGCTTACCGACTTAATAACTTTCTGTGAGGTAGCTTTTAGTGATGTCTGGTTCTTATAACCACTACTGTGAACAATTCTGACTCAGTAAGTTTCTGTGGAGTGGAGCGTTTCCACCAGACCCCTCTGTATGACTTTGTTTAAATCATAACCATTTAATTATCCAGAAATGGGTGGAGTTCCCTTTAAATCATTTAACCGTTGCATTTAGCAGTATGATATTATTTTCACAGAAACTTTTTTTTTTTCACTTTTTGCACAAAATTAAACTAATGTCAGACTCTTTGTGTGGAGAAATCCTGGAGAAGAATTCCAGCCAGACTGCTGTAAGAGGATTGTAAAGCGCAGAGGTGAAAATGTCAAAGTCTGGGGCAGTTTTTCTTACAGTGGTGTTGGTGAGCTCGGCGTCATTAATGGGATCATGAACTCGATAACAATCTGAAACACCAGCCAACTTTTGAAAGAATACTTTTCCAAAAAGGAAATTTACAGTCTTTGAATGGTCTGTTTTTGACACATTGTTTCCTGACCCAGTGAACTTTTAAGAATGGCACAAATGTCCAAATACTTTTTGCAGCCACATTATTTATCTTCAACATTTTTACTGACGTTTACAGGCATGAATTACCAGTGCAGTCAATATATTAGTTGAATGTGCCACTACTTGTCATGCTTTATTTTTATAGAGTGTATTTGGATGTTGAACTTACAGATGTGTGTGCATTTTCTTATTTACCTTTTTCCTGTTATGTTTTTTTCAGCCTGGCGATATTTATTAGACTCAAATTTATTGCTGTGTTTATCTGTTTTTCTGTTCCAGGTGTTGTAGCAGTGCTGTTCTGTGGGATCACTCAGGCTCACTACACATACAACAATCTCTCTGAGGAGTCTACCAAACGAACCAAACAGGTTCTTTTCTCTCTCTTTCCTCTTGTGTTGGCCCTCTGTGTCCACCTTTGCTATCAGTGTGCTGCCCCTTAGTGCCCTTTGCTTAGACCTCGACAGTGTTATCAGCAGTGGCTAGCAGGGGGCAGCAGTAGGCAGGTTTTACAACATGATCTTGAAGCTAATTTGCCATTGGGCTAGTTGAAGAGCTTTAGTATGTTTTAAATAGGCACATAAATGAAATGTTCTGTATTTGATGTACTTAGGCCGAAGCGTAAAAAACAGTTTACTAGGGTTTAAACTGTTTACAGTTTGTTCTACAGTCTGGAGGACCTGTGGATTCTAATCTGGAGAACCTGATGATAGACCTCAGCAAAATATATTGTCAATAAGCAGATCCTTTAGCCCTATTAAGTTCTGACTTGTGAAGTCATAATAATTGTAAAATTGTACTTGCTTGAAATTGTTCTCTAGCTGCCTCTTCTCTGAAAGCAGTTGGAACAGCTGCCTGTGAATTTAATAACTTGCTACATTCCTGCATGTGCAGAGTGGTGAAAGGAAAGATTTAGCGAAAAAAGTGTGGAGGGGAGGATGAGTCTGGTGAGGGTTTCTAAGAGACCCCTACTGGTAGCTGCCGTCAGTCAGGATGCTGTGAGAAAAGAACTGCCAGAACCCCCTGCAGTGTTCCACAAAGTAGCGCACACTGTGCTAGCCTGAGAGGGAGGAAATTTTGAGACTATGATTACACTCTGGGGTTGTTCTTGTCCCTCAGGGATGCTCTTAACCCAATTACCAGAGCTGAAGTGGGGTGGGTGAGACACTAGACTACAGAATGCTGAGTTCCTGCAGACATGCTACATGTTTTTGTGTACATGTGCTGTGTCCATAGATATGAATAAACCTATTTTATCATCACTTTTTTCAGCTGTTTGAGGTGCTGCACTTCCTGGCAGAGAACTTCATCTTCTCCTACATGGGGCTGGCTCTTTTCACCTTCCAGAACCACGTCTTCAGTCCCATCTTTATCGTCGGAGCATTCGTATCCTTTCTCTCTCTCAGCTAGCAATTTATGTTTGATCAAGGCCTGCAAACTGCACCTAAAGAATGCTGCCTTTGGAGGTGGGCTGGTATTTCACACAGCAAAATGTCCCATTCAGCTGGAAAAAAAATAAACCAATGATCAAGACTGTTGAATGACCCTTACCTGTATTATTGGACAGTCTTCACCTTTCTCTTAAGTAATTAGTAATTTGTCTAACTGGGAATTCTTGATATACTGTGCTGTAGTCAATGTAAATCAATATAATAATCCATTATAAAACAAGGCTACACTAAGGCCTTTGTATATGCATAAATGCATATACATTAAAGTCAATCTGAAATCAAAGTTGACCTTTTTTTAATCTGGTTATTTAATGTCCTGAGTTATATTAAGCATGATGCATCATACGATACAGTTTAAAAAACAAATTTCTTGTTTAGCTATAATCATTGAATAAAGTGTAGTAGTTTGCCTGCCTTTGTATGTATTTTGATTACATCACCATTTAGCAAATAACATACATTTCATCTCTCCACCCTCCTATCATCAAGTGAAAATGCTCTGCCAGCTCAGAAACCCGCTCTAATAATGTGTTTCACTCAGAAATATGTAATGATGCAAATGGAAAACTTGTGATTTGCGATTCGCATTGACTTAAAAACGAGATGAAAGATATTTCTGTCTGCCCATTTTCATACTGCTTTTACTGTGCCCTTGTCAGTCCCTGATGCTAACTTAAGGGCCATTCCAATCCGTCCTCAAATAAAGTTTGTTAGATGACTTCTTGGAGGGGCGAGGGATTGAGTGAACATAAATGTCGACTTCAGCAGCAGAACTTGCCCAGAAATCACTTTGTTCTAACACAATTCCCTTTTCAAATGGCAAAAAAGTTGGACAAAGTTGTTTATAAACTATAGCAGTAAAATACTTTAACTTTTCAAAATTTTAATGTTCAACTTGCTGTGCTCATACTGAGTGATTTTATGTAGCAAGCTCTTTCTCCATAGGGATTTTTTAATAACAGCTGCAAATAGACTGTAATAACAGTATATTTTTTTCTATAGCTTGAAAAATGAAATACAGCTAAACTCCCATGGTTTCATGCCGGCACCCTTTTGTGGGATGTGTGATAGCTGACATCTCCCATGCAACAGACTTTGTAGTCCGTTGTGCTGAAACACTTGTAAAAAGTGTAGATCTGTCTTTTATTGTCAATTATTTGGATCTGTTACGTAATGTCACATGTAACTCAATACAGGAGTGACATGCCACGTTATGTTGTTTTAACCTGCAATGTGTAAGGAGGCGGTCTGATGACTTTTCTTCTCTATACAGCTGCCTTTTTAAAGGCTACACAGATAATAACAAAAAGAGAAGCAATACACCATGGTTCTAAATCAAAGCTTATAGTCAGACAAAGCAAGAATTCACAGGACTTAGGTACGTTATGTTCAGACTGAGGTTAACCTGGCCGAGGGTGAGTGTGTTCATATTGAACAATCCACTCCTTGCTCTCCCCTCCTCCCTGTGCTGTGGATAATCGCTTGTGTCAGGCAGGTGTGATGCACTTTCTCACAATTGGCGAGGGCATGTTAAAAGTAGTGTTGAAATGGGGGTCATGATTTACAGTTACATAACCACTCCTAGGACTATTATGGCATTTCTTATCCATTGAAAGGAGATGATGTATGTGTGTATGTGTATGTATGTGTGTGTGTGTGTGTGTGTGTGTGTGTGTGTGTGTGTTACTTTTGTATTTTTTCTTAACCTCATCCTGATTGATAGATTGCCATCTTTATCGGCCGAGCATCTAACATCTACCCCTTGTCCTTCCTGCTTAACTTGGGGCGCAGACACAAAATTGGCGGAAACTTCCAGCACATGATGATGTTTGCAGGTATGGTATTATCGCTCCATAATCAGTCAAAACTGTTTTCAGTTAAGCACTTTTTATAATAAGAACTAGTCACCAGAAGGTTGGATGGAATGCAGTTCAGTGCAGTAAATCTGTATTCATAGTGAATGGGTACACACATCAACAATGTTCACATTTTTTTCTTTTGTTCATACACTTCAGTTTGTGCTTGTATGATTTTCACTATGTGTGTGCTGCTGATGCAGGGCTACGAGGGGCGATGGCGTTCGCACTGGCAATCCGTGATACAGCGACCTATGCACGCCAGATGATGTTCACCACCACGCTGCTCATCGTGTTCTTCACTGTATGGGTGTTTGGCGGAGGCACTACGCCCATGCTGTCATGGCTGCATATCAGGTCAGGAAAGACTTCACTCACTTCTTGAATAGTTTGGTGAAAAATTAAATATACATGATCTCCCCCCTCACTCAATGTAGTTGAAGTTCACTTCATTAGTTTTGCTAATGAAATAAAATAAATTACACAGAGTTATGTCACACAGCTAAAACAGCAGTAGCAGGCATCTTGAAATCTGAATTTTGTCCATATGTTTTCCATTTTTATAGATAACTATCTGTTAGAGTCTCAAAATCACATAAGCAAATCTGATTTAGACATGCTGTTTGCCTGAAGCTAATTGGTGGCTGCTTCTGTTATTTATATATAAATGTTTATTGACCAAATTTGTGGTACGGGGAAATTTGTGTCAGTCTGGTTTTTCACTAAACTATTTCTTTAAAGCTGTTGGCAGTTACTTGCAGTGCCCAGCAGAGGGTGCAAAAGCTCCCCTCAGCAACTAATGACCCCTTTGAACTGTATTGCTCTTGTATGATCTCCATGACGACCGATGGCCTGAGAGCTGAGCCAGAGAGGATTGGAGAACACTTCATTGCGAAAGCAGGCATAGAGGAGTGGGCTTTTATTTATGGTGAAGTTTATATTAGGTTTGACTTATGACGCATATCCTTAGCTTTCGAGTGTAAGATATCAGGGTTCAGAAAATCTGTAGAAAAGAAAAGAGATATAAATTGCTGCATAGTTTATCCCGTGGCATTTATACCAGATCGGTCAGCTGTGAAACATTCACAGACAAATCCTTCTATTGTAATAAAGTCTGAAATGGAATAATAAATGGAATAATAACAGAGCGAGTGTGTAGATAACAAACCAAAGGTTAGCAGCTGTTTTGAAGCAGCAGAGAGCCGGTTCAGGGCTGACAGAAAGAGCAGGTGGAGTTGTTTATCCGGGGGTTGTGCTGGCTGTAGATTCTGCACACTGTTAATAAGTGCCTCTAGTTCTCGAGATAAAGAGGATTATAGCACTGTGATGCTGATGACAGATGCTTCATGGGACTCAATGGCTCATGTTATTGTGTGTAATGCTGCTGTGCAGTGAAGGAGCTGTGGAATGGTTTGGCAGGACAAGCAAAGACGAAATTAACGGAAGTGTGAGACATCCTTTACTTAAATGTGGTCCAGTGTTTCAGATAAATAATAGATGTAGACATATAATCTCACAGGCTTTATTGGTAGACATTGCAGTGCTTTTGAGGGTGTCTGACAGTAAATAAAATTGCTGCTTGCACTTCTGCCAGGGTCTTCTGATTGTAAGTCTGCACCTGTACCTCCAGGGTGTGTATGGTGGCTATGTTTGCCAATGTCAAAGAATTTTATTTAGTCTAATAATAATTTGGTTGTGCTCTTTGACTTCTAGGTGAATAAACATGCATCAGCGTATTGTGGTGGTACATTGTTGACGGAATGTTCAAATCATTTGGTAACTTGGGGGAGGAAGACCCTCAGAGTAATGTGCAATACCCACCTAATCCTAATTATCCATCCTGCTCATTTACTGAATGATTTATGCTTTTACTAATTCTGAAATTTCATCTGCATTCCTCTGAACTGTGTGAATATTTATGCATCATCATCCTGTAAATGATAAACTGCCATACAGTTATGGTTTTGCTTTACAGTAAGTGTTTTTAAGTGGAGCATTTCCCCCCATTTTTCCCTAATAATATTCAATAAACTATTGTTTTTATGATCTGTTTTGTACTAATGTTTTTTATTTTGTGTATTCTTTCTATTTTTAATTATAAATACACATTTTAGCAAAAATAATGTTGAAATTTGAGATTTTGTGTTGAAATTCGTTGTTTAGTAAAGTTATAAGATTTAAATTCTAAGATTTTCTATTGGCCTTGCTGGCATTTGTAAATTTTTTTGGTTAATCTAAAGCAGTGGTTCCCAAACTGTGTTACACATACCCCCAGGGGTATGTCAAATGGCAGTGGGGATACTTCAAAAATTTCTGACATAACTTTTCAAAGAATTTCATTTAATCAGCCAGTCTCACAGTTACACAGATACTTGCCCCATACAGGCGGCACAAACAGCATCCAGCACAGGGCAAAGTCTTGCTCTCAAGTTTTATAAAAGGGTGTATTAGAATAGAACTTTGGACCATTTTGAGCGCCACATGTTTAGGAGAAACTAAATCTGCTACTGTACTATACATATTACACTAATGAATGAACTTGTTGTTACTAACTGTTGTTAAGGTCTGTACACACATGTTCCCTCAAATTTATGCTGCAGCCTTTATGATTACAAATGAAGAAAGTTGGCGAACAGCATTCTAATCTAAGTATGCAGAGTCCAGCAGGATGACACCCCTTTTATTTCTCCATCACTGCTGCCTGCAGTGCCTTTCCAAACATGCCAGTCAAGACTGAGGTTTACCTCAAACCTCAGTCTCATCAAATATCATCTTATTCTTCAAGCCCTTACAAAGGAAAACAATTATTAGTTTATGAGATTCTGATTTTTGCACAGTATAGTGCAACCATCTGTAAGAGCCTGATATGTTTTGCCTGTGTTTGGCTGTTTCCACTGTCCCTCTCCTCCTTTGTTTACAGTTTTGTGACAGCAAGCCTAGGCAGCGCTGCATTGTTTAGCAGATGGTGCCAGGTCACTCTGGAGTTTCCTGAAGGAAGAGCACTAATTCCCAGTCCTGGGTTTCACATATGTATAAGATAGTGATTACAGTAGGAGCACTACAAATGCATCCAAGCAAGGCAGTTAAAATATTTTTGTTTTAAGTAAGAGATGGAAAAACAAACATTATTTTCTGCAAACATAAACTGCTTCTTTAAGGGAATCTGATTTCCTTTTTTTGAAATAGATTTGCAGCCAGCAGTCTTTATTGCTGTTGTACTTGATGGTATTCTATTCAGTATTGTACCTACTGTATTCAGTGGTATTGTAATGTTTTTTCAAATATCATCTTTCAAATATCGTCTGTTCTTTATTTTAACTATAATTGAGGACTTGAGGCTTCCCAGACGTTACGTTTGCTGAGTAACAGAATTATAGTGTTTAGCTTATCTAGTACAAGTGGCAATGATTTGTGCCACTTCTTATGTAACTTACAAGGGAACAGATAGTAATTAAGGAATATAGGTTTGATATTGTGATGGTAGAAACGCATTTTTAAGTAAACCAGTTAATGAATGTGGTTAAATATATGTACGTAACTGGAAAGGTATACAGGATTTGCTCTATAGTGAAGCTATTTAATGCTCGGCTGAAGTCTAAGACAGCACGTCTTTTCCAGCTTTTGGCTCTTGCAGAAGTAGCATAGCTTAGATAATCCTTTTGCCTAAGCCAAAGCCCAGTGTCTTTGTAGGGGTCAGGGAAGGGGGAGATAATATCCACTCTGGACTTGCTCCCTCTCTTTCTCAGGGCTTCCTCTTCCTGTGATTCACCATATCCAGTCTGCTAAATATTTTGCTGCCAACAGGTTAGCTCTGCATACGTGACCCAGCACAGGCTAAATTGCTGGAATGGTATTGCCATTCTTCTCACCCAGTGTAACTGTGACCCTAGAATGTAAACAATACCCCGGGATCCAGAGGCGGTGCTTATCTTTGTCTTAATTGCTGAGGGGCCAACGAAAACACTTAAATTCTTATTTATATCCACTGCAGGAAGAAATATGAATGCAGGCAGTGATTTTCTTTTTCTAAAAAGTGAAGTTTCAAAAAAGACTGCTAAAGCTAGTTTGTAAGACAAATTGCCAACAACCATTGAAACTCATGTTTATTGACATCTGGTTGGATCAAAGAACTTTTTTCCCCCCAAAATATTCAATTAATTTGCAGTGATGTACTCTTGCTCTAGGGCCCCTGTGTCAAACATAAGGCCTGTGGCTCAATCCTATCCGGCCCACGAAATTATTTTAGTTTTCTATTAATATTAGCCCGTTTACCAATCCCCAGCATACACTGCAACATAATGTTGGTGGGGGGGCAGAAGCGCACAACAACAATGTATAGGACAGCAGTTACACAGATAAATGCAGTGAAAATATTGGCTATATGAACCCATTTTATTTATGGCTCCAACGAGGGACATTAGACAAGCGATTCGTAATCTTTGTTCATGTCGAGAAGATACAACTTCTCCATTACAGGAAATTATGGAAAAATTCTCAAAGACAGTGCTACAGTGCAAAGTGTTACTAAAATAAATACCTGAATCCATTGCGTTAGATGACCGGCTGCTCTTTGTTGTCAAGGACACTGGATTTTGTTGGCACATACTGTAATCAAGTATAGTTTTTTTGTTAACTGTTTTTAGTTGTTATTGTTTTGTTTATTAAAAGTGTGTTTTGTTTATTTCCTTGTTTTGTACGTTTAATTGAAAAGCATAAATTAAAAAGCTAACAAAAAAAAAAACTAAAAAAAAGGTGATGGGTTTTCGTTTTCAGCTGAGGGTGTCCTGAATTTTGGATTTGGCCAAGAATTTTCATGTCAGTGTATCAAAAAATTTTTGGTAACATAGTGTGACTGTTGCTTCCAGACTTTTTCATAAGCGTTTCAACAGTTTGAAATGAAAGCAAATACTTATAAACAATCAGATTCCTACTAAAAGATCTTTTATATGGCATGTATTAAAAACTTCATTTAAAGTTATGATATGCGTGGGTGCCATTTGTAAATCAGCCATCGTCTTGTATTTTATGAACGCAGAAGGAAATATCAGTGTGGAATTGAGTGGGCCCATTAAATTCTCTGCACTGTATGATCCAGCCCACACTCTTAACGCCTTAAAGCCAAAAACAGGCCCTGTAAAAAGGCCATGATGACACAGAAAGGTCAGGTGGTTAGATCATTGCTGCAGATTTTCTCTGCTATATCGCTACTTTATGTTCACTTTACATAATCACGCTTTAATGCATGGCTAAAGCCACTGAACAGTGAGAGCTAAATGCACGCAAGAAAGACTCTAGTGTCATGATGAGTGCATAAAGATGTACTTCACTAAAGGTATTTCTGTAATTTTGTAGTCTTA